CCCCAACATGGCGGCGCCGGAAGTGACCACAGAGACGGAACATGCGCGCCGCGCCGCTCCGCCCGCCCCAACTCTATGGTCAGTCCTCCAGCCGGAAGTTTTTGGCTTTTCCCGTTTTTTTTTCCCCCGTTTTCCCTGATTTTTTTCCTCCCTCCAAACACCCGAATCCCCTCGTGGCATCGCCAGGGCCTGGATTTCACCCCCGCGGCTCGTCCAAATGTTTCCGTTTTAATCCACCAACCGCATGATTCGCTACGACCCTGAATAACAAAACATTAAAAAAAAAACAACCACCCCCGAAATTCCCCAAATTCTCCCGGAATTCCGCGATCCGCACGTGTGGATCCCACCCCAACCTCTTAGGGCGACCCAGACCCCGCATCCTGGATTTTGGGAAGGGAGTTAGGCCGTGGTTTTGGTCCCAAATATTGCGGGGAGGGGGAAGGTTGGGAATTGTGGATCCCGTTCCCGAGGACACGATCCCATGGGAAAACCGGGATGATCCCTTGGGAAAATCGGGATATGGGATGGGAGAAGAGGGCAGGAGGAGGGTTTTGGGGTGGGAATCAGGGAGGATTTTGGGGTCCCAAGCCGGGAATTGCGGATCCCATTCCCAAGGAGATGATCCCAGGGGAACAGTGGGATGATCCCAGATGATCCCCATGGGAACAGTGGGATCCAGGGGGTCGGGAATGGGGGATTTTGGGGTGGGATTCAGGGAGGATTTTGGGAACCGCGGCTCCCATTCCCAAGGGGATCATCCCATGGGAACACCGGGATGATCCCACGGGAATACTGGGATGATCCCAAGGGAACACCGGGATCCAGGAGGTCGGGAATGGGGTGATTTTGGGGTGGGAATCAGGGAGGATTTTGGGAATCGCAGCTCCCACTCCCAAGAGGATGATCCCATGGGAACACCGGGATGATCCCACGGGAATACTGGGATGATCCCAAGGGAACACCAGGATCCAGGGGGTTGGGAATGGGGTGGTTTTGGGGTGGGATTCAGGGAGGATTTGGGGAACTGCGGATCCCATTCCCAAGGGGATCATCCCATGGGAACACCGGGATGATCCCATGGGAATACTTGGATGATGCCATGGGAACACCGGGATGATCCCACGGGAACACCGAGATCCAGGGGGTTGGGAATAGGGGGCTTTAGGGTGGGAATCAGGGAGGATTTTGGGAAT